TTTTTCACTCCTGTTTGGTGATCTCTCTCTCTCTCTCTCTCTCTCTCTTTCTCTCTCACACACACACTAAAAACCAATAAAGGTTAAATAAAGCATAAAAGTGAATGTGTTATAAATGTTGGATATTATAGAACTGATAAAAACTGAAATTAAAATATAAACTTGCTGCTGAGCATGGTGGTGCATGCCTTTATTCCAAGCACTTTGGGAGGTAGAAGTAGGCAGATCTCTGTGAGTTTGAAGCCAGCGTGGTCTACAGAATGTAACCCTGTATCAGGATAATAAAAAGTAAAGCTTACATAAAGAGCTTATGTGGGCCTACATGGTGGTGCACACCTCTCCTCCTCCTCCTCCTCCTCCTCCTCCTCCTTCTCCTCTTCCTCCTCTTCTTCATTCTCTTCTCCTCTTCTTCTGTTTGCTTTTTGGATTTTGGTGGGGTTTTTTGAAACATAGTTTCTCTATGCAATCTAGGTTGGTAGCAAATGGGTGAGCCTCTTGCCTTATACTCTAAAATGCTGGGCTTGAAGCCTCTAAAGTCTACTAGTGTCCCTGCCCCAAAATGTGAGATAGAGAAAGTTGGCTTGCCACCTGTGTGGTCTACTTCCCTGGTTCTTCAGAGATGAACTAAGAACTGGCTTCCATCTTGAACTCACTTGGCATTAAGCTGAGTAGAGGATTTATGACAAATATCTTCACCCTGTTTAAGATCTCCCATCTACATCAGAATGATTTGCTTCTACATTACACCGAATGCCAAATGCCTGGATGCCAGGTCCCATCAATGTTTAGGGACAGGCAACCAAACTGGAGGGTAGGCTCTGTCTGTCTCTGGAGGGAGCCAGGGGAAAGAACTGTGGTAAATGACTCTTTACCTATTGTTTAGGTTCTCAAACTAGTACTAATTATGGCCCCATCAGTCCCAAGATGAAGGCTAATTAAAAGCCCGACATATTGGAGAACAGCTGGGGAAATGCATTGTGAATACCAGCCCCTCGCAGTAAGAGATTGGGAGCTGGATAGTTTTACCTGCTAGGCCTACACCGAACTAGAAAACTAGATCCAGACAGTGCTTCGAAGCCTCCTTAAAATTGTCTCTTTGATCTCTGTGGTCCCTGGGGACTCTTGAATTTAGGAGCCAGTCTTTTTTATGGGAGTTATAAAAGTTGGAACGCTTGATGTGTGGTCGAATCCCTTTCAGGGAGAGGCTAGACTTGGTTTCAAAGGGGTAGGGCCAGTGCACATAAATATTACTAATTTCCTGCACTACTGGTTTCCAGATGCAAGCCTGACTCTAGGACATCGGCTGACAGAGAGTACAGTCAACCCCCTCTGGGGAGAAGTTGGGACCTGGTGTAAGCTGAGTTGGAAACTGGGTGTTGGCAAATTGCAGCAGGGAGTGAGACCTGTACATTTAAGGCCAGCTCTTTGTCACAGAGGACTAATAAAGAACTAAGATCCAGTCCCTCTGGTGAGAGTTCCAAGCATTGAGGAATTCAATGAGTAGACCAACTTCCTCCAAGGTAGAGGTTGAATACTTAGCTTTGTAGCTTATGTGAGGCAGGAAGACAATGCTGGGAAGGATCCGAGCATTCAAGTTCCCTGAAGTGGAATCTCTGTACTCATGAATTCACAGCAGCTGTGGTTGCCTGCATAAGACATGCAGAAGATCAAGTCAGCCAACATTCTAGCATGGAGTGGGAGGGTCACAGGAGCCCCCTCTCCTAATTGAGGAGCTATTGACAGTTGGAAGATAGTCAGTTTCTTGAAGGGTGTGGACTTTACTGAGTCAACTATACTCTGGTGGATGGCTCTACATCCCTGTGTATATGGGCAACTCAAATTGTACTCAGTGGGTTAAAAAAAAAAACAAGGGAGGGTACCATCTGGGAAGTGGGTATACAGATGAATAAGATTGTTTTGGATGTTCTGTGTGATATACACACAAAAAATTAACAAATTAAAACCGAGTTATATTTGAAGAAGAAGCCTAAAAATTTACATCATGTTAATTAATAGAGGTGATAAACATTGCTATTGAAATCTACCTGATGGCTTTATATCCATACATGGGAGCCAAGGACCTGAGTGCAACTGACCATGACTAGTAGTAATCAGATACATACAGATTAAAGACACATGCACCATCTCAGTGTTATTAGCAAAAACGAGTCTTTCTGTAAGAAACAGTATATTTTAAAATGAAATGGAGATCTTTTTTAAAGGTTAAAAACCCATTCAATTTTATGTCTTACAGGGTTTATACTGAGTTCAATATTGTATAACTGTATTAATTCAATGTGAGCCAAAAAATTTTATAGCCACTTTTGAAAGATATACATCTTTGCTCTGGATATTGTTATTGAGTACATTAAAGCTATAATGAAATGTTTCTTCTAAAAAGTAAAAAACAAGAAACCAAAACAACAGGACATGAAGTTGGGATAGAGTAGGAAGGTAGATTTGAAAGAGTTAAGGGTTGCATGGGAAATTAATGTGATCAAAGTAAATCGTATTCATGTATGAACTTCTCAAATAATTAAGAAATAAACATTTTAAAAGAAGTTCCTTGAGCTTCTACTAATTCCCTGTCTTGCTGCGTCCTAGATCAATCCACTCCATGTCGAATTAATTTGCTTGTGCTTCACTTCCATGCTCAACTTTAGCATTTTATCTGGGGTCTAGAAACTCTAGCTGTGTATTAGAATATCATAGAACAATAAAGAGTAGAGGCACTATGTCTAGACCCTCTTCAGACCCTTGAGTCAGCCCTCCTGCTTACAACTCTGTGGTGTTCTCTTGTAGTTCACAGTAGATCCCTTTCCCCTTGACAAGGCATTGCTTTCATGTCTATCCAACAGGCTCAAAGCACGTGTCTTTGTGGAATGCTTTCCTCATGAAACGCACCGGTGGAAAGCCTTGGATTTGTGAAACAGTGCTCTATGGTAGGAGCAAGATTCAAAATATTTACAAAAATAGCAATTTAATATCATTCATTAATCAGAATGAACATTAGGCTTAGCCACAGAACAGAGCCCTGAAGTACGCTGTGTGCTTCTTAAGTCCTTCTTGCTGGATCACAGGGCAGTGGTATTGAAGAGGATACCCAAGGGACCCAGGTCAACTTACCAAACAAAATTCTTCTATAGCTCAACCAGTACAGCTGAACTGGTGCAACTGGCTAACTATCAGGCCTGGGCTACCCCAACCTCCAGTCCTAGAAAACTCAAGGTAAAGATTACAAAACATGATAAAGTTTTCTTTAATTTTTTATTCAAAAAAGAGTAAGCAAGCCATCTTATTAAAAGCTGAAAGTGTATATAGGCTATGTATGTATATATGAAAGTGTTCATTAAATTGGACTGCAGGCAGTGGAAGAAGGTTCAGAGAGGGGAGTGGATCTAAATGCCATCAAACTATGTTGTGTGAGATTTTCAAAATATTCAATAATAAAAGAATGGAATCTCAGAATAATGTATAAAGTTCAAGGATTAAAAGGTATGATTAAGTCATTTTAAAAAAAACAAAGAAAAGCATTCAGAAAAATATTTCTATAATAGCAAAAAAACAAAAATAATTACAATTAATTATTAATTACTTAATAACTAGTGAGATCTATATCAATCTCTGAACCTT